TGAGCAGTCAGAACAATAATTACATAAAATAAACGTTGATTTCCTTAATTTTATGAAAATAATTTTTGTCTTTTATCATCACTTGTCGGCATTTTTTGGGAGCATTCCATACACACCTGTGTATACCTCTATAAGTTTTTTTTTTTTTTTTTTATGGCATAAGCCGGTAAACGAGCAGACGGATCACCTGATGGAAAGCAATCGGCGTCGCCCATGGACACCTGGAACACCAGAGGCGTTACAAGTGCGTTACCGGCTATTTGTGGATTAGGAGTTTGAGGATTGTTGGGGATTCAGGGATTGGGGAGATTGGGGAAGGGGAGGGAAATTGGGCCTCCGGTAACCTCACTCACGCGACGAAACACAATGCAAGCGTTGCTTCACGTCGGTTTTCTGTGAGGCCGTGGTATCACTCCGGTCGAGCCGGCCCATTCGTGCCGAAGCATGGCTCTCCCACACTCATAATAATAATAAGTTCTTATAATAACGTATGATATAACTAAACACAAGTATGTATAGTTAGTTTGTGTTCCAACGGGTCGAGTTTATGTAGTTTACGAAGTAATATCCAGGCTAATTGTCTGTACATACTCGACCTCTCAATCTCGATAGTTGCTAAGCGGGGGTGTGTTCAAGAGTAGGTACAAATAGACAGATATCAACATTAATAATAGCTTTAGTAATTTACTTTGCCAATCGGTTATCGGATAGTAGAAAGTTACTTACGAGGTCTACATTATTTTACTTATAAGTTAGGATGATATAGTATTTTTTTTTAAGGGGGGAAAATCATCGAATGACTGCTCCCGCCTGGGTGAGGCGGAAGGGAGTGTCAGACTCTTACTGACTAAAAACCACCCCGTTCCTTCTCCTGCACGTCGAGCCGGAGCCCCGGTTACCCGTTAGGTTCTCCGCGACAGGATGATATAGTATAGTAGTACTAGCTTTTACCCGTGGCTTCGCTCGCGTCACTAAAGGATAAAAAGTGACATATACCAATACACACAGCGCCATCTATACCAATAATTTCGTTTTCCCTCGAGAATATCAAATTTTTCGGGGATAAGATTAAGAGATATTTAATCCAGACTTCTAACTTTACGTCTGCAAAAATTCAAAGCAATCGGTTTAGTAGTTACGGCTGGAAAGCGGAACAAACAAAACAACTCACTTTCCGATTTATAATATTAGTAAGGATAGTACACATTAGGATTCTACGTTACTACGTACTACATAATTATAAGTATTTTTACGGATCACAGAGTAGCGTATTTCAAGTCGAATTGTTACATTTCGAGTTTTAGGAACGGAACACAAACAAAAGGCAGTTACTATAAAAATAAAACGTAATAATATACATTGGTAAAGTAAAATTAAATTGTAAAGAATAGAGTTATACCTATACATCGAGGCCCTAGACTCCCTCGAGAGTAAAACGTCAGATCCTGTCTTTGTCTATTCTTTTTCCGTCGCCAAAGATAAATTGTAACTCGGTAACTTAGCCATTTAATAAAAAAGTGTGTAAATATTGGCCGAGTGGTCGCAAGTGCGACTGCCGGGCAAGGGGTTTCGATTTCGATGCCTGGGATGGTTTGCCCAACGTATTAGGTACTGGGTTTCTTTTTTAAATCTCAGTAGAAACATGGAGTCTGAAAATGTGCCCGGTATATGGCAATAGGCTCACCCCCTATTACATGGGACTCATAACATAAATAGTGAAAAGTGAGTGTTACATTGTACCGTGACACTAAACGCCGTAATGTGCACTACTGCCTACCACTTTGAGATAAAAGGCGTGATATTATATTTTTATACATAAGGAGTTGTATTGCCCACCCACCTACTACCCACCTTACAAAATAGGTATGTATAAGATGGTAAGCAGACATAAGACAGTGACTGGCCCAAAAGGAAAACTAAACTCTCTTTTACTCGACATTTGAAGGTAATTCTGAATTACGTGTAGGCGTGACATTTTTCTACATATTCCTAAAATTTCCAAATATATAGCAATTGAATTGAATATAACAATATTTCGAGAAATAACAGGCACAAAGAGAAGACAGAATGATTCAATTACGTACACCGTGAAGCGTACGTATCAATATAGCTGTAAATCAAATTGAAAACCTTTATCTCGGCTACAATTGATAAAGAAAACTTACAAATCCGAGTTATCGATATCCTTTCCGAAAATACACCGAAGTCGTACATATTTCGTTGTAAGACTTCTTATTTTATTGTATGTAGGTGGATTGGTATTAAAGATTTTTTTATTCTAGTGTGGAAAATCCTTACGGAGTGGTTTGCGTCAAAGCTGCTGGATTATACAAGGAAAATGTTACTAATTGCCGTACTCAGAGATATTTATTGATTGCTTAAACTATCCTTTAGTAACTATTTTGTTCCAAATAGAATTGCTAAGGACCGGGTTAGACTAAGGACTCACGGGGCGATTGTTTCGGAGGCGGAATTCTGCGATCCCGCAGCCACCGCGGTTGCGATAATCGCCAGCAAACTTGGCGATTGATTATCGCAAGATGGGTGGGTGGTTAAACAATCAGTTGAGACAGGCCGTCCCATTGCGATCGCTCACCAACCGATCGCAGGGAGCGCGGGTGCAATCCGCCGCAGCTGCGATACCGCGGCGGCTATGGGAACCGCAAACAATTACAACCGCCGTGGGTGTAAAACCGTAAAACGCGTCGTGAAATATGCTTTGATTTTTTACATACATATCTATATTCTACAAAGGCGGCGAGCCCGCAACCGCGTCGGGCGCGGGAGAAGATTGAGCCGTGAGTCCTTAGCCTTAAGTACAAGATTCTGAGTACGGTAGTAAGAACTAAAAATCCAGCATCGAGGTCAGTAGAGGCCTGTCCAGGCAATGAACTGGCTAAATCTTATATCTAGTCAATTACAGTGCATGCTTTTTCAGAAGGTGACCTTCTGATACTTTTTTTTTGTGCGGGGGGAGTGTCAAACTCTTACTCTACTTGCCGGACCCCGGTAACCCGTTGGGTTTTCCGAGACTCCAAATCGGCATCAGCCCTATTGGGACCCATCCGTGGTAAAAGGTCACATGCTAGTTTGTCAAAATAACGCCTCCAATATACTTGTTAATGCGTTGGTGCTTCTCTAGATGAGATTTTTGAGTATTCGGAAAAGCGCATTTTACTTGTATATTAGTTGCTCTACTTACCCATCTACTTCTAGATTTACCACCACTTTACTACTGGTGTAGCCGTAAAGCCTGTAGGGAAAAATAGACTTAACATCGAGTCTCACAAAGATCCGCGTTCCGATGCAGTATGACAGGTAAAATCAATTATGAAAGTGTTTTCTGTCCAAAATTATGTACAAACTCATTAATCGAATACCCTAAATTTAACTGCAGCCATAAAACATACTAATGGTGACTACAAACATAGTTGTTTGTTTCTGCTATTTATTGTCTCCACATAAATTGCACCGCCGCGCTCCGTGCCTTTGTGGCATTTTTGAAACTAACAAGCAGTGTAGTGCTATAATACAGAGCTATAAAATGTCACAGAAAAATGTTTTGAAACGTTGCTTGTCTCACTTTCTAACTCATTCTTGTTTTGTGGTTGACGTTTACCTATTCCGATTTTAACTAAAAATCATGATAAACCCGCGATTTTTAATTAATTTTCTGGATTTGATGAGAGCATCAAATCCAGAAAATTAATGAGAAGTTGCCAAAAGCAATATTATTTAATTTGACTGCGGTTAGTCTCTTTTTAATCAAAATATGAATGCAAGCTAGACTTCTGAGCAATGGGTCTCGGCTTTTTCGAGTCAAATAGTACAATTTTCGGCCTGAAAAAATCAATATATGTATATATATGTTTATCTTTTAGTAGTAGCACAAGGCATAAAGCTTGGAATGATGGCTCGTATTTGCGGATGGGCTCAATCCCGCTCATGACACTGCTGGTGAAATGTATTGATTTCATTCTGACCACATATTATGTTAGATGTTCATGCTCTCATAATATAACATAACATTCATAAGGCCTGTTTCACGAAAGCCTTATGTTATAATTATTATTTATCGTTGATAGGAATGCGATGATACTTTTGTCCTTAACTATCAAAGCCTTAGCAATCTTTGTCGCTAATAGCATCGCATTTTAAAACTAATGAACATAGAACATACTAGCAAATTCATTTGTTCTATTTGAACGCTTTTTTAACAAAGCGCACTTAAAAAAGTCTCGTACGAATGAGACCTCCTTGATAGAGAAAAAAAAAATATAAAAGAAGGGTATATATGTAAAAAGTTTCAGAATAACGTCATGAATTAAATAAAACAACATACATTATACTAATGTAGGTATTATGTAGTATTTATTTCATCACCAGATATTACACAAATCAATCTCAGCCTTTTTCTTAGTCTGTGTCTCATGTCTTAAAATCACTTTCATACTTAACTAACTGCATTATATATATAATTAAATTATATCTTATGAAATACTTCTAATATATTAAACATTAAAACAAATAATAACATTGAGATAAATTAGGTTGAATCTCTGCCGTGTGATGATATTAGAGAATCTTACATTGTTGTAAAGCCAAGGGTACATAGGGTATTTTTTTTTTTGTTTTAAGGGGGGAAAATCATCGAATGACTGCTCCCGCCTGGGTGAGGCGGGAGGGAGTGTCAGACTCTTACTGACTAAAAACCACCCCGTTCCTTCTCCTGCACGTCGAGTCGGAGCCCCGGTTACCCGTTAGGTTCTCCGCGAGATATAAATGTCCTGCGAAACGTATCGCTAGTGACGTCGAGTGATGTAATGCGACGTTGCCGGACTTTGTTCAACATGGCTGGCAACATCATCATCACCGGGGACATAAGTTTGCTTCCTATTCCATAAAATAGGACGCAAACGAGCAGGCGGATCACCTAATGGTAAGCGATCAGAGCCGCCCATGGACACCCGCAACACCAGAGGAGTCACAGGTGCGTTGCTGTCCTTTTAAAAAGGAATACGCTCTTTTCTTGAAGGTTTGAATGTCGTATCGGTTCGGAAATACCGAACTATGATATGTGAGTAAGTCCATTACCGCTGTACCATACCCTACTAGACCCTAGGTATTTATCGTGATTACATTCATATAGTGATATGTGTGCGTTGATCTTCACAATCACCTCCCTCACACCTCCCAAAGCATACAACGATGCAGTCCAGCTCCACCAGTAAGTGACTATGGGTCAAACTATAATTACTTATTTCACAGCCACACAATTTATGGTAATATTGAAGACAACCAAGGCAATTCACCGGTATTCTTAAAGTTTTGCCAATCGTACAGAAATCTTCCTACAACTAATAATATTAGAGCTAATAAAACTAAATTGACTATATTGATGGGACTTATTGGCATCACATCATCGTCCCCGCAGATGTTCCCCAGTGGTATCGTACTGATCTGAAACAAAAAAAAATACGAATTTATTTATTTTGGAAAAAAATATAATCGCCTTATACAAATTCTCATAAAAGAAGATTAAAATTCTTCGAAGAGTAACAACATGGGTTGAAATGCGATCATATTTTTAAACTTTCGTTTATTTTTTCTCTTTTATTGGAGATCCGATAAATCCCGTCGATAGCTGCAAAACAAAAAGGATAATTGTTTAACAAACGGAGGAAGAAAACTGAACTGTTTTGGCTCCGACAATGAGATTTAAAAATAGATTGTCAACCTTATTTTTTGTTATTTACGATTATCGTTTATTATCGATCTAATCAGTGGGATTATTAATTTTATAGGATCAAGGGATTATTATACGTAACAGGATACAAATGGGAGAAAAGATAGGACTAAAAATAAATAGAAAATGTACATGTTTCTTAGAAAAGTGCGACTTTCTCGCACGTTCTAGTGTTTTGTAGTCGTTAAATTGTAGACTGTACAGACCTCTCGGTCTTTAGGGACACTACAGTTAATGAGAAATAGAAACCAGCATATCTTTTAGTCAAAAGTTAATTGGAATGGACTTATTTATTACTAAATCACTGGCACATTGCTCGAGTGGTTAAAATTACTATTTAATTAAAATGATTCACATGCCTTACAGTTTTTTTATTATGCGTCTGACAAATACTTCATGTACAAGAAATGAAAATAAAGTCTATAATTGTGTTGTCATTATTTAACCAGACACCTGTAGAACTGTTCTGATTACTAAGAAATTGTTAATGGAATTTAGCATTTATTAGTGTAGTTATCCGTAGGTATTTTCGTCTTTCTTTAGTTTCTTCGTAAAATTATTTGAAATCTACCCTAGGTAAATCTTGGGCTTCAATAAGCTTAAAAACACAACCTGCACAGCGTGTGTCATAAATATGAAATAAGTAGTAGGTACTTTTTGTATGCAGAAGTATTGATGTTACAAATCTATCGCCCCGGCACCGCGGCGGTAATACGGTACATTACATACATACATAATACAATAATATTAGTAAATAGAGGTAATATTAATAATCGTTTTGCTTTTTTATGGTATTAGCCGGTAAACAAGTAGGCACACACAGAACACCCGGAACACCAGAGGCGTTACATTTGTAAATTCCTAATCCAGGAATTTGACGATTGTTGGGGATTCAAGGTTTGGGGAGATTGGGGAGTTTGGGGAGTAATTGGGCCTCTGGTAACTTCATTCACACGACAAACCACAACGAAAGCGTCTGTCGGTTATCTGTGAGGTCGTGGTACCACTCCGGTCGAGCCGGCCTGGGGGCTTACTCTTGAATCCAATTACGATCGATCGACATTGACATTGTGAAATTTCGTACTCTTGAGTTGCAACACTAGCGCCCATTGCATCCGTATTGCGTGGATATTGAATGAACTAATTGGTTTTGAGTTTGGTTTTATACTCTGTACCCTGAATCCTACTTTAACAGCTACGATAGGGGTTGTATAGTTTTGACATTGGATAATTTCAAATTGACATTGATATTGGTTTCAAGAGTAAGCACCCTGTTCGTGCCGAAGCACAATTAAAAGACGTCACAATCACCTCACTCTATTCTATATAATATCTTACTACTTTAAGCTTTTAACTAAGCTAAGTTAAAGTCTATCAAGAATCTTCAATGACACAGTCACACAAACAATATTTATGATACAGCCTGTATAAATATTAAAGCAAAACATTATAATATAAGTATGTACCTACTCATATATTCCCCTAATTATATTGTACCTTCATTTAATATTAATTAATTACACTTTGGTCAAACATCAAAGAATTAAACTGAGGAAGCCCCCAAAGGAATTTGTTCCCATTTTATGAAAATTACATCAAACAAGTACAGTTTTATCAATTTTGACTGTCATTTGATATGAAGCCTTTGCTGATAAAATATCAGTTAAGTATCTGAAATGTCAAGGTTCTTCATGAATTGGGTACTTTCCTTATGATAAATAAATTATTTCGACCGTTCAATATAATAAAATATAAAAAAAAAATCACAGTTTCATTAATTGATTTTATAACCAACTTAATTTTAATATAGTTCCAGCGAATTTTTAAGAAAAAGTATGCTGTTGGACGCTAAAAAAAATATGACGTCATAATACACAATCTCTTACAAAATTAATAGAATACTGTCGTTTTTACAGTTCGAAAAAAGAATTGAATTTGACTAGTTAGCCAGTAACCAATTCTGTTTTGTATACGATACTCAATTATTTTAATGAATGAACAGATGAACACGTATATTATTTTCTGGATTGCTGGTGAGTAATATTTTTTTAATGGGATGGACCCGCCACATCTCCTATAACTCCTGTAAGCTATGATCTACAGTAGATACAACCATACAACCATGAAAACACTGAGATACTGAAGCGTCTCAGGGACGTGAACTACATACTTTCTTAGATCCTGCAACGAAATACCTAAATCATAAGGTTTTATAAGAGGAGAAGAACTAAGAGAACTGTACGATTGGTCCGGTGGCTGGGCAACTGGCAGCCGCGGCACGTGTTGCAGGTTCGATTCCCGCACAGAACAACTCTCTGTGTAATCCACAGGTTGTTGTTCCAGGTCTGGGTGTCATGTGCATGTGAACTTGTATGTTTGTAAACGCACTCACGACACATGAGAAAATCTTAGTGAGGGGTAACGTTTTTTATTTTAAATCTATAGTGTCCACTTCCTTCGGCGAATTTAATGCAGGAAGGCATGTAAAGTTGATAGTCTGAAGTAATTTTATTATTGTCTTTTCTATAAGTGTACACAAAGGAGAGTTATATTTTACAGTGTACGTAATCACTATTACAATCGTACTTAAACTATAATTCTTATTTTTTATAGCTTTATGGCTTAAGCCGGTAAATGAGCAGACGGATCACCTGATGGTAAGCAATCGGCGTCACCCATGGACACCTGGTACACAAGAGGCGTTACAAGTGCGTCACCGGCCTTTTGGGGATTAGGAGTTTGACGATCGTTGGGGATTCAGGAATTGGGGAGATTGGGGAAGGGGGAGGGTAATTGGGTCTCCGGTAACCTCACTCACACGACAAAACACATCGGTTTACTGTGAGGCCGTGGTAACACTCCAGTCGAGCCGGCCCATTCGTGCCGAAGCATGGCTCTCCCACACTTAAGTGTACCTATATCTTATTCTTTATAAAGTCATATTATAGTCTTTATAGTCTTTTTTTTCTCTTTTCAACCGACTCAATCTTTATTTTATTCTCAATTTCGCTGTTATAAAACCACATTCATTTTAAGTAAACATTTTGATTCGTATTAAATAAATATTTCCTACAACCTGTAGCCTTTGCCGGCTAATGATGATGATGACGATTATAATTATGAAATACAAAAACAATAAAGTAAAAACACGTGAAAAACAAAATTACACAACAATATAAGTTTAAAATACAATTTGTATTTATGTAAATTGTAACAGCTAACGAGAAAACATCTAAGACATAATTAGCATGGTTCGTTTTAAATGATAAAGGACCATGTGATAGAAATACGTATTTTAATGAGGTGATTATTTTAATGGTTAAACATATACCTACCAGTTAACAATGGTCTTGCTTTGTTTGATCTTTCGACATATTAAACGCTCCGTTTATACTGGTTTGACGTGTGTACATTATTGTATTATAAATACAGGGTGGAATTTTGTAGTTCCACCTAAAGGGGAAGTACTCTTAATAGTTCAGATAGAAAATTTTACTCAAAGAAAACATTCCTTTACTTTTGAAAACAAACAAAACTGCATTTTTTTAAATTAGCTTGCCTCACATGGTAATCTTATACTTTTGCAACGATCGTTAGGGTCAATAAGGATGAAATCTCTCTAACAAACATCTCCACAATCCCCAACGACCCTCAAACTCCTAATCCCTAAAAGGCCGGTAACGCACTTGTAACGCCTCTAGTGTTCCAGATGTCCATGGGCGATGGGCACGCCGATTGCTTACCATAAGGTGATCCGTCGACTTGTTTACGTTTATAAAAAATAAACTTCATAAGTGAAATGAAAGGAAAACAAAGAAATTCCACCCTGTATAGATACGTACATATAAAGTAATGCATTCTTCAGCAAATATCTGCAGTATGCGAAGCGTTCAGTGCCGCAGACGAGACACGACAAAGACTTGCCTCTCAAGAGCAGACATTTTAATTTGCTTACATTTCAATATTTTCATTTCATACTTCCTACTTTGACATAATGTAAGGCGTTTTAAAATTGGTTACTATATTTGTATATTATGACGTGGTTGACTAAAAAGGTTTTTAATTTTCACAATCAGTCAGAGAGAATATATAAAATCCTTTATTTTAATGTAAGTTGTACTTAAAAAACTGACTGCCTCGATGGCCGAATGGTCACAAGTGCGACTACCGGGCAACGGGTCTCGGGTTCGATTCCCGGGTCAGGCAAAGTATTACTCGGTTTTTAAAAAAAAATCTCAGTAGTAGCACGGAGTCTGGAAATGTGCCCGGTATATAGCAATAGGTTCACCCCCTATTACATGGGACTCATAACATAAATAGTGAAAAGTGGGTGTTACTTCTGTGTGCACCTCTGCCTACCCCTTCGGGGATGAAAGACGTGATGTTATGTTATATACTTAAAATTTTTTAATATAATAAGTGGTAACACAGAAAATAGAGATAAATAACAAAATTGCGTATAACAAGAGAATTATAGTAAAATGTTACAAAATGTTGCAGTTTGCGCAAACTCGATGTAAAATGAAAAACATATTCAGCACATACTTCTCCACGTCCTGTATTTGCTAAAATAAATTAGTAGTCAGTACATTTTAAATATTAACTAGGCCAAAGTACAATGTACAGTGTTGATGAATACATTGTGAACACCTAAGCTAAACACAAAATTGCACTGTTTTAAAAACAATTTAAAACTCGAGTCAATATTTTCCAAAACACATACACATTAAGATCGTCTTACACCTAACAAGCACGGCTCCGGCACGGCTCCAATGTCAATTTCATTTTAATATGAACGTTAAATCGTATGTCATATGACATGTTTCAGAACGTCAATATAAAAAAGCTGTAAGCGCACCGCCGCGCCGAAAACGCGCTTACAACCTTTTTGTATTGTTTCTAAAGCAAAAAACGCCTGGCCGGAGCCGTGCCGGAGCCGTGCCGGAGCCGTGCCGGAGCCGTGCCGGACCCGTTTGTTAGGTGGGAGATGATCTTTACACATATTAAGTATATGCTTGCAAAACAAGAATCAAGTTGTGTAAGCACATGACAGAAAAACAATTTTAATATTGCTGAGAGTGCTCGATTGCGTTATGCGATGTCAAATGTTTGTTTGATATCTGTGGCATACATACCAGGAACCGGGTAGTTTCCTCGGTCAAAAACAAATTAAACTTTTCAGTTTTGTCGCGGAGAACCTAACGGGTTACCGGGGCTCCGGCTCGACGTGCAGGAGTAGGAACGGGGTGGTTTTTAGTCAGTAAGAGTCTGACACTCTCTCCCGCCTTACCGAGGCGGGAGAAATCATTCGATAATTTTTCCCCTTAAAAAAAACTTTTCAGTTTTAAAAGGATACTACTGATGAAACTGAAACTGGATTATATTGTAGTTAAAATTATTTCATGTCAGGTAATGCCAAGACGAAATCATAATAGCTTGCATTGAACCGTCAAAACGTGAATCATGACACTAAGCGAAATGGAAATATTTTTGTTCAGTCTGCACAACTTATAAAATGTAGAGGTATAATGCGTCTTTGTATAATATGATTACACTGCCACTTAACAATACAATGAGTGTGCGACAGAAATATTTATATTACTGTTTATTTTCGGTCATTGTTCACGATTTGGGCCCTTCATAAAATTGCTGCCACGTTGACCGAGTGGTCGTAAGTGCGACTGCCGAACAAGGGGTCTCGGGTTCGATTCCCGGGTCGGGCAAAGTATTACTAGGTTTTTAAATATTCTCAGTAGTGGCACGGAGTCTGGAATTGTGCCCGGTATATGGCAATAGGCTCACCCCCTATTACATGGGACTCATAACATAAATAGTGAAAAGTGGGTGTTACATTGTACAGTGGCATAATGTAAGTACACTTCTGCCTACCCCTTCAGGGATAAAAGGCGTGGCTATGTTATGTTATGTCATAAAATTTTATAAAAAAAGATTTGTCTTGTAAAGACCCGATATCGCATAGGTACGCGTTCCGCAACACAAGAAAATCTAAAAAAAAAACAGAATTACACAAATAAATTAAATTAACTTTTTTAAACATAATCCAGTGCCTAAATTAGCCAGAACGGTGTTATTTACCCACAAATTTCCGCTGTTTACTATCGTAATGCGAATTAATATTGTCAAGCGCCCACACAAAGTACAAATTAGAAACGTGCTTCTCTTGAAGTGAGCGAACATACAACATTTTATTAAGATGGAATGCCTGTTCTACGCGAATGTATTTCACACGACCATATTGCACATGTGCGCGTTGATATGACGTTTATAAAGGGAGTAGTTTCCATTATTTTCTGTTACACATATAAAGTGTGGGGGTTCCATGCTTCGCCACGAATGGGCCGGCTCGACCGGAGTGATACCACGGCCTCGCAGAAAACCGACGTAAAGCAACGCTTGCGTTGTGTTTCATCGTGTGAGTGAGGTTACCGGAGGCCCAATTACCCTCCCCTTCCCCAATTTCCCTAATTCCTCAATCATCAACGATCCTCAAACTCATAATCCCCAAAAGGCCGGTAACGCACTTGCAACGCCTCTGGTGTTCCAGGTGTCCATGGGCGACGCCGATTCCTTACCCTCAGGTGATCCGTCTGCTCGTTTACCGGAATATGCCATAAAATATATATATATGTAGAAAGTAATGTAATGTAGAGGTATATTTATATAGCTTTCTGCGACACTATTTTCAAAAAAAAATATTTTTATCCTTTTTATATCTTCTTTGATATGGAGTTTTTCTTTAACAAGATTCGAATGGATAACAATATTCGCATGAAGCGACATCTGCCTTTTATAATTTGCTAAAGTATAACTTTCTTTGTTTGAGCCATTGTCAAAGCTTCGTAACTGCCTGTTATGATCATTTTCTTTTACTATTGGTATACGTAGTAAAAATAGAAATTATTTAAGAATTTGAGTATTTTTGTACTCTATTGATTTTAAAAGTAGTAGAGGATTTATAAACCCATTTAGTAGAGTAATCGCCTTCAGTGCTGCGGACGGTCTCATGGGTTACCGGAGTTCCGGTTCGTATAGAAGTAGGAACGGGGTGGTTTTTAGTCAGGAAAAGTCTGACGGTTTCTCTCACTTCACCGAAGGCGGAGATGAGAAGTCATTGGTTGATTTTCTCCCTCAAAAAAAAAGGTTCTTCCTATCTTCCATTACCAATAATTCCAAAAAATATTCCACTTGCAATATTTGTCCTATTATTTTATCAGTCAAACAAAGCCGGGTCGGCAAGGCAAAGTATTATTGGGTTTTTTTTTTAAATTCTCAGTAATAACACAGAGTTTGGAATTGTGCCCGGTATATGGCAATAGGCTCACCACCTATTACATGGGACTCATAACATAAATAGTGAAAAGTGGGTGTTACATTGTACAATGGCATAATGTGCACCTCTGCCTACCCTGCATGATGTTATGTTATGTTATGTCAAACAAAGCTTTAGTGGTTTTGACAGGGCCTTGACAGTTTCCCTTTTGGAACAAATTCATTAATGGTACGGATTACGCATAAAATTATCAGCAAGATTAAATTAATCGTGCCTTATCTGAAGCTTTGGAACCAAGTCATTAGAGAAATTGATAAAAGCGAAACGGTAGCGGGACTTCAATGGTCGAGTGATCGGTAAATACACCGAGCAATGGAACCCTGGTTACTGATAAGGGTAAAATAATATGGAAGTGTCATTGATATTACAGAATAATTTTAATGAGAATTGTATATTGGGATTGTATAGATAGATACATTTATAATACAGTGGGTACACCTGTACTCAACACGTTAAACGCCATGGGCGTCACCGACGATTGAGATTAACCAATTAGACAATTAGCTTTCAACAGTTTTCTATTGACTGTCAGCTGAAAAGCTTGAAAGGTTAATCTGTAGGTACTTACACTTTAAAATTGAGACTAGAGTAGACTAACAACTAGAATTTTACCTGACAAAAAAGCCTTTTTTTTAAGGGGGGAAAATCATCGAATGACTGCTCCCGCCTGGGTGAGGCGGGAGGGAGTGTCAGACTCTTACTGACTAAAAACCACCCCGTTCCTTCTTCTGCACGTCGAGCCGGAGCCCCGGTTACCCGTTAGGTTCTCCGCGACTCCGAATCGGCATCGGCCGTATTGGGCCCCATCTGTGATGGTCTGATGGCTCTTTGAGGCACGCGCGGAACGCGACGCACCGTACGCTCGGGTCTGTTTCTGGTCGGACGGGGAGCCACCCATGCTCGCCGTCCGCAGGCCCGCGCTTACGGTGGCCGGAGATCGTCTCGCGATCCCCGACGCCCGGTGTGTCCTTCGCGATGGCTGGGTTGCGAGGAGGCAGCGCTTCGCTGCCTCACGCGTCCCGCCTCCTCCTTAGCTAGCATGACTGCTTCGCAAAAGGAGGAGACGGCATCCCAATCCCCCTCGCTCCGCATCATGGCCCGCACTAGGCCCGGACGCGAGAGGTCGCCATCGCCGATCACTTCCAGGTGTTATTACAGACTGTTATCTATGTATGTGTTATCTATGTATGATGTATGTATGTGTTCCAAGTTTCACTTCAATTCCTTCAGTAGTGTTTGCGTAAAAAAACAAAAATACAGGGTGTCCAGTAAATAAAACGTCATACTGCGTGAGGTGATAGCTTGGAACAATACCTAATATAGAATAAAGTTCAGTGAAATCGTTTAAGGTTTAAGTTTTTTGCTTTGGGAACTACAAAAAGGTTGTAAGAGCGCCGTCAGCGCGCGGGCGACGCGCTTACAGCTTTTATATATTGACATTATGAAATATGTCAAACGACATACAATTTAATGTTCATATTTAAATGACAATAACATTGCTGGGTTAGAGCCGGGTCGAATGACATTGTTAGGTGTGCGATTGTTCTATAAAATTATACTAAATAGCCATACATCAAAATCTACACTTCTAATATTAGTAGAAAATAATTAATTACCTGCACAAGTGATGTCTTCTTGTCACTAGATTTCGAACACCTTATGTCAGATAGATCCCGGATCACTCGCTTGTACTTCAGAAGCAAACTCTGGAAGCGAGGTATGTAGTGGCAGTCACATCTCCAAGGGTTGTCCCCGAGAAACACGTGCATTATATTATTGTTATATTGAAACGCTTTGTCGAAAGCGTAAACAGGAATCTGTTGAAGAAAACAGGATTAGAACTTGTTCTGGAATATTCCACCGTACCTATTACAAACTTGTACGTTTTCATGTAAGCAGAATTCAATTAACAAATTTGCGAATATATTCTTTAAACTAGAAGGTAATTAGAGTTCATTGTTTGATTTGTTTTCGATAATCGAGAGGTTGTTAGTGACTGTTAAGTTAGAGGTCTTGAAGTTGGTTTCAAAGCATTTAATTTTTAATCATATACCTGCATGCACGTTATTCACCTAGTTGTCCTTTAGTCTGTCTGTCAGTGAAGTTAGGTGTCTATAGTCGTTATGTTTTGTGAAGTTTTATTCTTAACTAGCTGACCCAGCCAACTTCGTTTCGCTTAAAAGGGTTTTTCTCATTTTTTATGCCTCCCCTAGTCTTCCACGGACATTTCAAGACCAAAATTATAATCATAATCATTTATTTAAGTATCCATCATATATATATATTATAATCATAATCATAATCATTTATTTAATTAGCCAAATTGGTTCAGCCGTTCTCGAGTTTAACGAACGAAATTGCTTTTTATTTTGATTTTTTAAGGGAGGTAAATCAATCAATGATTTCTCTCGCCTTGGTGAGGAGGGAGGGAATGTCAGACTCTTACTGACTAAAAACCACCCCGATCCTACTCCTGCACTTCTAGCCAAAGCCCCGGTAACCCGTTAAGTTCTCCACAGCTATTTATATAGATTTAAGAATTCTCAGTAGGTAGAATACTTATACTACTACTTCTGCTTCTAACAAGGAGTTTGCAAATGATGTCTAGTTTACATGATACTGAATAAGATTACTGTCGGAAAGTTAGTTATCATATTATTATTTTAGGGTCCTACCATTTGTAACCATCTGTGTCCCCCAGCGATCAATCAAATAAACAAACTATAAACTTGAGTTATTTAAGGCCGATTTGTCAACCATCAGTTAATTCTTATCTGTAGAATAAAATTGACATTGGACGGATGAAGAATTGTCAAAACTCAAGGTTATTCCTCAGTTAAAATTTATCTGGCGTTGGGAAATCGGTCATTGAACTTAGGCATCATAAATTCATGATCAACTACTCTGATCTTAGACACGAAACTAGAATCAATAATTACAAAATTCCCTTACAATGTACCACTGAAGAGGTAGGTAGAGTTGCATTATGTTCAATACAAAATCGACTTGTCGAGTTTATACCATAACATGATATAACATCACGCCTTTTGCCCCCGAAGGGGGTAGGCAGAGGTGAACATTACGGCACTTAATGCCACTGTACAATGTAACACTCACTTTTCACCATTTATGTCATGAGTCCCTTGTAATAGGGGGTGAGCCTATTGTCATCAACCCTCCATGACTCCGTGCTACTGCTGAGAATTTTTTAAAACCCTAGTAATATTTTGCCCAAGGAATCGAACCCGAGACCCTTTGCCCTGAGTAGTAGTGATTCGCCGGTTCTGGCTCACGCGTTTGACCGGTCAAATCTGGGGCGACTCAGTCGCACCAAACCTAAAAAATAGTAATTGAACATTCGTATGACAACCATTGAATAGATTAGTACTGTAATAATTTGTTAATAATAGTAATATCATGGATACACTAGAATTACAAAAGCATATGAAAAAGATTCATCTCAGTCTAGAAAATAATGTTTATGCTGCTAATAGACTACCTATGTATATACTTGTACCAACGTATATAATATGCAATTTGGATGCGGATGATAAACCAGGATCACACTGGATAGCTGTACATATCGATGCGAATGGCATCGGTCAATATTTTGATTCATATGGACGAACACCTGAGCGATATCATCTTCAGTTTTTGAAAAGGAATTGTAAGAGATGGGACTGGAATGTTGATAGGATTCAGAATGATTGGACTTCAGTTTGTGGTGAATATTGCTTAATGTATTTGCTATTTAAGTTTCAGGGATGTTCAATGCATAGTTTTACGAACACATTTACAGGGAACACACAGTACAATGATATTTTTGTGGATGAGATGTTCCACTCATATTTTGTAAAAAAAAGTAATAAAATTAGAAAATAAAAATGAATGGTTGTGTTTTATTGATGACATAGGAAATGAAAGATAATGAGGGTTAACAGTGAGTAATAGATAAGAACGCCAAAAGGGTGTTCGAAGTATAGATAAGAAAAATGGAGCGTTGATGAGGGTCAAGACCACCTGAAATGAATGAGATAACAATAAATGGATTTTAGAATGATTGGATTTTTTTTTTAGGATTGGTGCGACTGATTCGCCCGGATTTGACCGGTCAAACGTGTGAGCCACAACCGGCGAATCACTACTACTGCCCTGCAGTCGCAATAGCGACCACTCGGCTAACGAGGCAGTCAGTTAGTTTATAACTCCCATGTAAATGAGGGCAAATCCTGAAACATCCCTTAGAAATGAAATCTAGCACATTTCGATCAATTTACTTAAATGTCTCAACTTATATCAAAATTTTAAAAATGTAACTTCTTATATAATATATGTACTATTAAAACATCGGAAAAATACACGAAATAAAAAGTTATGAAGACGTTTCAATTTCCCACACGTTCTGCTAAAGTTGGCACACATTTATAGATTCAGCGACGGTATGAAATTTGACAGGCTACTTTTTATATCAAACTTCAATTTGTGTCCCCACGTAAGTACCTAAACCGGGCCGGCTCGACCGGAGTGATACCACGGCCTCACAGAAGACCAACGTAAACGTGCATTGTGTTTTGTCGTGTAAGTGAGGTTACCGGAAGCCCAATTATCCCCCCTCCCCCCTTCCCCAATCTCCCCAACCATCCTCAAACTCCTAATCCCTAAAAGGCCGGTAACGCACTTGTAATGCCTCTGGTGTTCCAGGTGTCCATAGGTGACGCCGATTGCTTACCATCAGGTGATCCGTCTGCTCGTTTACCGTTTTATGCCGTAAAAAATGTTTACTAGTCTACCTATTTTTTATTATTGGTCTAATAATTTGAAACATTACTCTCTCTCTCCAAGTCTCTAGTCCGACACCTTTTTTTGAAATGGGAAAATCACCTAATGTTTCTCCCATTTCGAGTGAGGCGGGAGAGAGTGTCAGACTCTTACTGACTAAAAATCATCGCCTTCCTTCTCCTGCTTCGCAGCTGATAGGTCGTCCGTAACTCAGGAGTTGTGACCCAGGGGTCACAAGAGTAAAAAATTCGGTACGAAGTCTGGAAACGTACCCGGTATAGGCTCACCCTTACTTACATGGGACTCATAACATAGATAATGAAAAGTATGTGTTACATTCTGCTGCACTAGAGGTGCACCTTTGATGACCTCTGCCTACCCCTCCAGGGATATAAGGCGTGATGTTATGTTATGTTACAAAATACGTCAAAATAATAATAGTGACAAGATATTGTTGCGTACTCTTCAGTGATTTCTATGCTATTTGAGAAGGAAATGTCACGAGTCTGCTTTTTATACATACATATAGGCTCGACCGTTCACTTCCGAGCAATATGAAGACGTGGCATCTTATACATTTCCTAGAATTCGATAAGTTTGTTTATATAATAGAAACCTGATGACTGACACGTTTTGTAGTCACAGGATGTAGTGTTTGACCTTGGAGACAGTAGAGATGTGCTTTAGATTACAGTTTTTTGGTATGTAGACCTTTTTTATTGTACCAATGACAGACATCATGTTAATATAATCTAATGCAATGAAATTCGAATGATAATCTAGGGAACTTACAAATTATTTGTCATCTTTATTAAGACCTCTAAATAGGACATCACATATTGAATTACGAACTACAACTTAGGGCAGCCTTAATTAGCAAGGCAAAATAATGTGTATCTTTCTCAAAAGAATTTTTTTTCTTCTCTTACCTGTTTCAATAAGTTCCCTCGAAGACTTAGCACTCGAAAATTGGAGAACCACTCAGTACCTTCTAACTCCTTGACAGCTGATATGCTGTTGTTATCAAGGTACAGGTCAGCTAAGGTCTTGTACTGAGGGTTATGAACGATGGCTCGTATTGAGCTCAACTGAAAAGAATAATCATTTTAATAGATGTTTCTAGAAAGTTGTTCAGACGTACACAATGAATAAGGTTGTTGCGTTTAGTTGCTATGGGAATGGGACTTGTAAAGAGGTATGAATACTTAACTAAAAATCGCGGATTATTCACCGCGACCGCGCACGCTGCTCATGAGGAAGAACCCCTCTGTGGTTCGATACTAGTAGAGTTTTTCTCAGTATATTCACGTGAGTAACCCGTGATTTTTAGTTAATTTGGTATCTCTCACGATAGTTATTATAAAAAGGTATGATAAGATAGATAGTTATTATATTAGAAGTTGTGAATATATATATATTGAAGTTTATGAGCATGTTAGGCAAACATATTATAGGGTGCCTTCCAGCTAGGTGAAATGATGATATTCATAAAGCGGCTGAAGACAGAATGAGCTGAAGATACAGCTGAGTGACGCTTTAATGAATATATATAGCTGTAGACGGTATGGAGGTAATGATGATTGCATGTACTAAGTAACATTTGTGCAATGCTAAAAGAATAAAGAATATATTTGTCTACCAACTCTGAAAGATTTTTCTTGTTAAACGCATTATTCTATTCAATTCCATTATTACCGTTGGGAGGCCAGGGGTTAGGCTAGTTATGAACTTTGTTTTTATTACCATAATTGGAATGATGACAGGGTATGAAAATTAAAAATCTTATATGTCGTAAGTAATGTAATGAAAATATTAGAACAGAAAAATATTAGACACGTATTTTTTTTATTTTGTCGAATAATAAAAAAATACTTATTATACGACGAAAATGACTAATGATTTAAAATAATCTACCAGACGGACATTAAAATAAAAAATAGGCATCTACCCTATTAAATCCCTCAACTATAAAAGCTATCAAATCCACTTCCGTTGATAAGTTCGATAAGAATAAAAAGAGAAATATTATGTTTCTAACGGCCAAGGCATCTGGGATCATTTTTCACTGACGCCATTATTGTTTTACTACTATAACCCATAATAAAGAAGTTGCTGTTCTGAGTAGACGCAATTTAAAACTATTGTTTATGATAGCCAACAGTTCTAGGAACAAATATGTTTAAATTTCAAAGTTCAATGAATTGCTTATGAAATGGCATGAACTTAAGTACCCCTATCCTATATCTTGTAAATCATTTCCTATCGCGATAACTTGAGTGTTGAGTAGATATACAGGATGTGTGACAATTGAAGTGTGACAGTTGAAGTGTTAAAAGTATAAGTATAGGTACACCGCGAAATTTATGTCGTTTTCAATATATAATTATAGAGGTACAAAAAAAATGTGATGAAATAAACCGACGTGAAGCAACGCTTGCGGTGTGTTTCCTCGTGTGAGTGAGGTTACCGGAGGCCCAATTTATTTTTTAACTAATGTTAAGAAAATCCTAGTGTGGGGCAATCCCCACACTGGGATTTTCTCCTGTGTCGTGGGTGCGTTTACAAACATACAATTTCACATAGACACACACCCAGACCCGAAACAATAATTCGTGGATCACACAAAGTGTTGTTCCGTGCGGGAATCGAACCTGCGACACGTTGCACGGCAGCCGGTTGCCCAGCCACCGCACCAATCGTGCAGTCAATCAATTACCCTCCCCTTCCCCAATCTCCCCAATTCCTGAATCCCCAACGATCCTCAAACTCCTAATCCCCAAAAGGCCGGTAACGCACTTGTAACGCCTCTGGTGTTCCAGGTGTCCATGGGCGACGCCGATTGCTTACCATCAGGTGATCCGTATGCTCGTTTACCGGTTATGCCATAAAAAAAATGTTTAAAACAAAAACTAGCTGATAGAGCATTGTGAAAAACAAACTTCAAAAGCGCATATTATGTCTTGTAATTCTAGAAGAGGTATTTCTCGGCGGGTGGCACGTGCGATGCAAACTGTGCACACAAAGTTACACCTAGTGTCTTTGTGCGTAAGTCTCGGCATCGGTCGTGTCAAAGTTGATGAAGAAGAGTATTCTGAATTCGACATGTGGTAATTAGTTTTGTTATTTCCTAATAAATCACCACAACATTCAATACTACCTAATTACTATGTGGAACCTTCGCAAAAAGAAAAACTACTTATAATCATAGCAGCAACTAGACGTGAATCTTATAAATTACTAGTGACCCGCCCCGGCTTCGCACGGGTGCAATATGCATGTATTATACATACAAACCTTCCTTAAGAATCACTCTATCTATTAAAAAAAACCGCATCAAAATCCGTTGCGTAGTTTTAAAGATCTAAGCATACATACGGACATACAGCGAAAGCGACTTTGTTTTATACTATGTATTGATATGTAAACTACAATTAATTTTGAGATCCATTACTCAATAAAATGAGCGTCATATTCTATGTAGACAAGTCAACCATGAAAAACTTCGACTATATCAAAAAAAAATGAATTAAACTTTTGGATAATTAAATCAATATCTCTCACTTAAAAGCGACGAATAAAAAGCCTAAAATTAAATTTCTTATCGAAAAATACTTACATTTAAAGTCAATAAACCTCTTTTTCGAGAAATTGCCTTAGTTTGCCTTGCCCAGACTTTGCTACCCACCAAAACGAATTACCATAGATATTCAGTAGAATTTGACTTTCATATTTAGTTAGGATAGGTCCGGATTAAACCAAAACTTTGATTTAGTTTAAGACAAACATAAATGTATTTGGGTAAAATAATACTTAACTTTGTTTTTATCAGCCTTATTACGCAAGGGACTTAACTCAGTATACCTAAGCGCTAGTCTAATCGATTGCATTAATGCATTTTGCACAAGGTCCACTAGAAGCTATAACCCATTTATAAATCGTAAGTCTCGATTCCATGCAATAATATCGCTTTTACGTACTCGATTGTATTAATTTCAGATTGGTACTAAGTAATTTTGTAAACAAAAAAGTTAACCGTAGCATACGTACTTGCAACCCGAAATTTTACATAACACTACAAGGTGGATTCCTCAGCACGAATAAGATTCCTATTTTTTTTTTTTTAAGGGGGGAAAATCATCGAATGACTGCTCCCGCCTGGGTGAGGCGGGAGGGAGTGTCAGACTCTTACTGACTAAAAACCACCCCGTTCCTTCTCCTGCATGTCGAGCCGGAGCCCCGGTTACCCGTTAGGTTCTCCGCGACGAATAAGATTCCATATCATTAAGTGGGCATACATTAGGTAAGGCTAGTTTTAAGGTCGCGCTGACGGCATGCGCACTGTCAGCGCTGATAGGACGAGATATATGAACTTCTAGGAAGCGTTTTTGAATGACGCGTAGCTATCGGCGCGCACGGTGTCCAGCGCTGACCACCTACTTCATACATCTCGTATAACTGGATCTCTCAGTCTAGACACCTGAAGAAATAGCCATAACGCGTATCCAAGAGCATACTGCCTATGCGTTTATAATTTGCATTTTAAATAATTGTAAAGGATTTGTGAAAGCTGCTAAATAAAATTTCGATTCGTTTCAAAGCCACGTATAAACCAGAACACCAGAAACAGAAACCAGGCACAAATTACTTTTATAATATACAGTGTGTAAACGAAACGCTCCTGAAAATGGCTGTTTCCTTTATGTAATAATAATTATTGTAATTAACCGCTCAAGGCTGACGTTGTATGAATAACATATAAACAACAACGATTAAAATTTAAAAACTATTATTTTTGTCAGCGTTTTTCGGGAGCGTTTCGTTTACACCCTGTATAAAGTGTATAAAGTGCATCATAATTTGAATTGTACCGGTAATGATTTACTGGTTCAATAGTCACCTTACTCAACGTTTTCCTTAAGGATTGTAAAAAATATTTATCTTTTTAAGTACATATAACATCATAATTTGTGCAGTGCGCGGTCAGCGCGACACTAAAACCAGACTAATAAAATCTGATAAATAGTAACAATATGTTGATAAATAAACAAAATTGATTGTTAACTTACAAAAGAATTTCCCTTCTCTTTATTCCTTGTTTGCTGACGTAAACCTCACACGTACAAATACCGTAACCCAGCGATTCCCAAAATGGAGATTTCATAAAAAGATACCTTTGGCTAATATTTGCTTTTGAATTTGGAACTTAAGCCTTACGTGGAAAATTCGCTTCTGTGTATCTGGTTGTTTACTTAGTTTAAACTGGCCACTGTCTTAAGGCCAAGGATACACTGGAGGACAAAATATGTCCTGCGACTTGGGTCGCCAGCAACGTTCGGTGAAGTAGCGCAACGTTGGCGGATTGGCGGACATTGGTCGACATGTCTGGCAACATCAACGTCGCTGTGGACATAAGGCGTACGTTGTCGTCTTATATTATGTCAGGTGAAACCGGCAGGCTTCACTTTACATGTCGCCGATACATGTCATGCGATAATTTGTCCCGTAGTGTATTATTTTTTATTTATTAGATTATCCTTCGATCAAACCGTATAAATATGAAAATCCTAAGAATGAATTTGTTACAAAGCATGGTTTTTTTTTTTTTTTTAATCTTACATTTCTTATTCTCCACGGACTCTTGTCCGTGCCCTTGTCATTCCATTACATTTTCTTTTAATTTACAGTCAAAATTACTTGTTACAAAAATCTTACGTGCTACATTAACCACATTTTTTTTTTTTCACAAAGAAGGTTGTGTCTAAATCTAATATTTATATATACACAATACATGTTTTATTACATTTACATTAACCTTACTGGATCGGCCCACACGCGCGATGAGCGAGCCGACCTGCTCCAGCAGAAGGCGCCCGTTCACGAGCATGACGTGAGGGCCAGCAATCGATCCGATCAACCATTTCGTAGGGAACGGAGCGACCCAGTCCACAGCGCCACCGACTGTAGAACATTTAAGAATGCATGACGTCTGCTCACGCAGCAGTAAGCCGATTCCAGTAGTGCCAATGGATTTTGTCAGTCTTATTGATAAAATTTACATTACGTTACATTATATTTACTACATTTTAACATTATTAAACACACACAAATATAGAGGTATATTAATGTCACGCTTGCATCACAATTTAAGCTTACAGCGAGCCCTCCCCACCCAAAAGAGCGCCCACTACCGCCATGTCCCTGTTGCTGATAGCCATTTTCAAGTTATAGTCCAGGATCCCCCGCTCACTCTCACCCACCGCTCGTCTGATTAATTTGCTGATCGCGTCGTCACTGATATTCGTGTAGTAAACACAGCTGTTTGTGTGACGGGATATAGCTACCACGGCGTGCGATACACTGTCGTGTATCCGCTGTTTCTTCTCCGCTGTATTCACAACAACCACTGCCGCGTACGAAAGCATGGTTTATAAGTTCTAAATTACGACTCTGAACTGAGTACTGAGCTCACGGCAAAAATGAAGTCTATAATAAAATTATGTATCAAGCGTAGCGCAGAACAGAAGCAACCTACTTTTAAACGATATGGGTACCTAATAAAGATTGAGAAACACTGTCCTAGCCCAAAACAACCGTTTGTATCGTGTCGTATCGTAGGTCACTCAAATATTTGTTCAGTTACCAGGTAAACTAAGTCAGATTGGGGATCTGCAAATGTACATAACAAGACCTATTTTATATACACACAGACGCTATTGTCAAAAGATGAAAGTAAAATTCTCACAAATTGTCGCTGAATAGTTCCAAGGTTAGGTAAAGTGTAGAATTATTGAGTTTTGTGATTTCCAAATTCTTGGTATTAGAGCTAGGTCTACGATTGAATTCTTTGGATGACGTCACCTATTCAAGCTTTGTATTATTACTGAATACCAAATACTGAACGGGAAACAGATGTATACTTCTCCCTACCTCTTTAGAAATATTATAACAAAAACGATATTTTTAACGATAAATTAAACTGTATCTGTTTACACGCATAATTTCAACGAACTTAAATTATACCCATAAATCCCCAAGCCGTCACCGGTGACCGCTTTCCACTAATATTACATTACATTATAGACCTTATTTCTAATGTTTAGAGAATACTTTTGTATGACCAAATTTAGGCGATGGATATCAACGGGTTAAATCATTTTTGTTGTGTTCGCCATAGCCGAGGAGACATTGTATACCAAACCAAATATTATGTTTTTCGACCTACTCACGTCGTAATTATTCGCGCCATGCTAGAGGCTCATATTCAATTATTCATGAGCAGCATTCCGCGACCCGTACCGCGGCGACTGTCGCGCTGCTACTGAGCCTCTAGCATGGATAAAACTAGTCGAGTTCCTCGTGAAATAATTACGTGTGTAAGTCGAAAAACATAATAATGAATTTGGAAAATAACTCTCACTTACGCTTCTATAAAATAAACGATTATTTTTGTCTTCTAAATGATTTCGTTGCTTATTAATCCAAAACCATTGCCACGGCCATCAGAAGACATAAGTATAATGGGCCTAAATCCAGACTTAACTATATCTGTAGCTTTGAATTTCGATTACGAGAAATCCAATAATGTTTTACGTAATCTCAGAACCAAATCAAGGTTCTCGTATTAGACTAAAGACACAGTTAACGAGATATCATAAATGAATCAGCTTTAATGGTACATCGACAACGAGAAGGTACGGGTCGTCTTCAGCCAATGTCATTTGACGCATTTTACGACAGCAAATTTTGGATTATAAAAAAATTCTGATAGTCAGAAAATTTTCTTAATATTTTTTTAACAATTCAATATTGATGTAAGAACTACTCAGTGTTCAATTAATTCTGTAGTGCCTACAAAAATTATACCAAAAATGAAATCGTTTTCACTGATTTAAAATTGTTGAAGTTAGTTTTAATCAAGGGGCTTAAACACAATTCTAATTGAGGGTCAAAAACAATACAATTATACTATTAAACAATGAAAATAATTTGTTGAATAACACAATTGTTTCTCGCAATAATTATTTACTTTCTAAACGAGGTTGTTGAGACAAAAATTAATTAATACCTACCACAATTTCTATTTTGTTAAACAATATCAATAGAAGTTTTGTTGAAACTGGCACACCACTCGCAATTTGTGGCAAAATCAGGGAAAAGCCATATTCTTTAAGATAAAAAAGACAAAGATTTTACCACCATAAGACTTCGTAAAATAATTGACGCTCTTACTTTCGTATACTAATCAATTAATGTGAAACTTGAAACTAATTAGCCAAACAGACCACACCAAAGGTATTCACGAAGAAAACAAGGCTCTATTAGCATTATTTTTCATTAATTAATGCCTACTCAAATATGTCAAAGGACGCGCCTACTTATGACCTTGATGAACAGCCACTAATATGTGAGCAAAATGTAGATCAACTTCTTATATTTTCTGCGTAAACGTTGTATTTTAATTGGCATCAAAAAATAATGGCAACTTAGCTATTGTGGCTATCAACAGAACTTTTTGCATGACCCAGCAATAAAATAAAAGAATCTCTCAGCGGGCGCTCCCGTGATCCCAACTGCTCAAGGAAATAATTAAGTTGAAACTAATTTATTAATAATCCCCTCAACGCTCAGCGAAATATTTCTTAACTAGTTATCCACTTGATCTATTTTCTAGTTAATTAATATAAGCGGTCGGACCTTGCCATTCATTTTTTTCTTTGTGAACAGTAACAGTTGTGTTTACAAAATTTCATTTAGAATTTTGTTAACAGTCGTCTCATCGGTCTAATTATCTATGAAATCAAAAAATACATTATGTATCAGCCATTGCTTGTCCAACTTTGATTGTATGTGTACCTTATTCACAAAGCATCCTTATTTATGGAATTTCGTAAAAATGTAAATGGTATACAACAATATTATTAACACACTTGTACCTTACCATACACTTATGTATATCGTTTTTTTTTGTAGGTAAAGGCGAAATACAATCTATACCAATGCGAACTTTCATGGTAATTAAGACCCAATTAAAATTGTGGACAGAAATAGATAAGATTTATTTTAAGCGGGAGCAAACTTAAAATTTTAGCAGCTTATACTGTAAACGCGTTCACAATAAAAACAAATAATAAGCAAGCATGGACAATTGGTTAATGAAATTAGAAGTACCTACTAGGGCTCAGTGCAATGAACTTTCTACTGTCTTTATCTACCGTCACACGCATAATAATAGTGGTACATATAAGATACTAGTGACTTGTCCCGGCTTCGCACGGGTGGAATATGCATGTATTTATACATATACCTAAACTTTCCAACTGTCAAACACCGCGAGGACACCGGTGACCGCAACCTATTGTTCTTTAATTGTGTCTATAATGACGGTACTCAACGAGTTAAGAATCACTCTATCTTTGTTGTTAAGTTGTAAAGATCTAAGCATACATAGGGACAGACAGACGGCGAATAGCTACTTTGTTTTATACATACTATGTAGTGATGATGTAGTGATAAATAGATGAGTAAATGTAAATGAAAATTATATACAGTCATATGAATACAGTTACATGAAACATCAAAAAATCTTCGTACCATTTTACCTTGTTGCCCTCCAGACGAAGTGTGGTAGTTCCTGGTGGTAACGCTGATGGTGGATTCTCCAGCTGTCTGTTGGCACAGTCAACGGTGATGAGAGGTATCACAGCACCGGCTGTGTCGAAGACCACGTGTGTCATTGTGCAGGAACAGGGCTCTGGACAAGTTTGACGCATCGTCTGGGAAATGTAACATATTTTAGAAAAATGTAAAACACCGGAATATAACATAACATTATAACATCATGCCTTTTATCCCGGAAGGGGTAAGCAGGGGTGCAAATTACGGCCGAATGCCTCTGTACAATGTAACACCCACTTTTCACTATTTATGTTATAAGTCTCATATAATAGGGGGTGAGCCTATTGCCATATACCGGGCAAAATTCCAGACTCCGTGCTACCACTGAGAATTTTTAAAATCCAGTAATACTTTGCCCGACCCGGGAATCGAACGCGAGACCCCTTGGCCGGCAGTCGCACGTGCGACCACTTTGTCAACCGGTCACTGGAATATAATATAAACGATTATACATATAGAATGTAAGCTAGGTGCAGATACGTATGTATACAATCTTTTCTGAACCACATAGTAAAAATCCGTTGCTCGACAACCACCATTGTGATAACCACCTTTGTGACAACAATAATGATCACTTAAAATCATTCCTATATTTAATACTAGCGTCTGCCCACCTTTGTTAGTCCAGACCATATTCTATCTCTGTTCCAAATTTGAACTCGATCCCTTCAGCCGTTTTCAAGTGATAGCCTAACAAAAATACCCACAAACTCAAAACTTTAGCATTTATAATATTGAAATATCATCCGCTAAATTTGGTCATACAAAAGTAGTCTCTAAACATCGGAAATAAGGTCTATAATGTAGTTAGTGGAGAGCGACCACACATCAATCTATACAAAACCAGTTTATCCTGGTGTCGCGTCGCATCATCTTTCCGCACATTTAACGTTCAGTTTATACTGGTTATGTAAAGCTCGATATGTAGCCTTTCACTGTAGTCTTTTCAATATTTTTTTTCAATATATCACGATATCTTACCCGTTATCACTTATCTAATAGTGTCTGCATTGGTTTAAACTGTCAAACACCAAGCGGTCACCGGTGACCGCAACCTATTGTTCTATAATTGTGTCTACAAAACCGGTACTCGACGAGTTAAAATATGAGTTAACATCACTTGTAAGTTAATTATCATCGTTAGACAACTTGTCCAAAGTTAGACAAGGGATTACATTGAATAATTTAGTGTCAAACTTTATAAGTTTTGATGGGTACGTGAGGGTGATGACCGCCATTCACAAGATCACGACATTTTCATTTAAATATAAAGTTATTTCGCATTTGTCTCACTAAAGACCGATTTTTCAATGCTCAGTTAAATTTTGTCACAGGTATAACGAATATTTGACAATTCTTCCATACTAATAACTGTCAAATTTCAATTTTGTTCTACAGTTAAGAATTAACTGATGATTAAAAAAATCGCCCTTTTTTAAGGGGGGAAAATCATCGAATGAATTCTCCCGCCATGTCAGACTCTTACTGACTAAAACCATCCCGTTCCAACTCCTGCACTTCGAGCTGGAGCCCCGATAACCCGGTAAGTTCCCCGCGCTCCGTGTTGGCATCAGCCCTATTGGGCCCCATATCCGATGACTCTAAAAAATTCGCCCTTAGAGTTTTTAACCAACTAAGTCAATTTACTCACTTTTTGTTATAATTATTATAATTCCAATTTCCTATTCTCATTCTAAATCTTAGTAGTTTACTGTATTTATAGTAGAGCTAAAAAAGTTGTATTCCTTCACCAAATATGTGATCTAGGTACTCCGATTCACATAAAACCTTCCACACGTTGTCTATTCACGTTTCCCTTGGGCGTTTTCTTCCTCTCCAACCACATTCAAATTCAGAACGCATTTTCAATGTTATAATAAAAAAAAATATTATTATGTACAAATTTTACCCCATCAACAAGACGCGTTTAAGGCGGTGTAACTTAAGTAAAACTTGGGGTAAAGACAAATGAAAGAAAACATTTGGCAAGGCAAGGATTAATTAATTTATATCGAACTTAATAAAACTTTTAAGGGGTAAAAACAATGAGAAGTTTATACAAAAACACAATTTTTTCCGTAAAGAACTGTTTACGTAACACTTTGAATTTCGTCTTTGGAAGACGAAGTTCTGATTTTTTTTAATGGCCTCTTGTCTTTTTAAATTTTTTTAATTGTATTCTGTACTCTTTAAACTTTACTTTTTTTGTTAGAACAAACAGGGCGTAGTATGTTATTTTGTTATATGTAGGTGAAAGAACAAATACATCACGGGACCTGGACTTATAATTTCTAATTATTATTATAAGTTTGAAATCGCCAACCCGTCTCGAACAAGTATGGTAAAGCGCTTGCAGAGAAGGTTCTCTATGTGAGAAAACGTCTTTGCGCTCAGTAGTGGGCACTCATAGGCTTTTGATGAGGCTGATGAACTATAAGTTAATTAGAAGTAGGTAGCAATGATTTTTTCCTCATTGATTAGAGTTTTCAATTACGTTATCTATTTGTTTAATAACCCTACATCATTTTCGAAAGTTTCTAAAGATATTTTAACAATTTATATAACTTAATTGGCAAAATTTCGTTTTGTAAGGAATTTAGAAGCTCCCGAACAAGTTTTATTGAATTTTTACTCCGAATTAAAGGAAAACTCATAAATCTTAGAAGAATTTTAAGCAAGGCAAAATGTGGCAATTATTTATAAGAGAATTATTTAAATGCTACAGCGATTCGAAAGACCTATGTTTAGCAGTGGACGAAAAACAAACAGGTAATGATAGTAATCATTAGCTTGAATTAGCTGTGTTAAACTGATATTTTGTAACTAGCTGATAAGCAAGCCAAACGTAACATTTATACACAGTCTGATTAAGATTAGTAATACTTAACCTTCCATTATTATCAAAGAAAGACCGTTTAAGTACATCATTGAGAGCCCATATCGTTGACGGAATATTATTAGAGCTATTTTGGATTTTTGACAACTTTTTCGTAGATAATAACAACTCCTTGCTATACATAATAGAATTATCTATCTATGTATCAGGAATAAGGCACACCGTGTTTCTGCTCAATAGATGGCGCTAATGTAAACTTCTCGTCATTCGTCCAATAGGGCACACTATCTAATCGCTAGTATCACACAATTGTCGCGGAGAACCTAACGGGTAACCGGGGCTCCGGCTCGACGCGCAGGAGAAGGAACGGGGTGGTTTTTAGTCAGTAAGAGTCTGACACTCCCTCCCGCCTCACCCAGGCGGGAGCAGTCATTTGATGATTTTCCCCCCTTAAAAAAAAAAAAATGTATCACACAATTGGACGTTCCATATTTGACAGGTGCTGTGAATGAACAAAACCTTTTACGCCATCCGCCGTTCTATATTTGCGCCAACTAGCGATCAAAATACGTTAGCCCCCATTGTGTCCTCTCGCGTCCGGGCTTAGTCCAGGCCATGATGCGGAGCGAGGGGGATTGGGATGCCGTCTCCTCCTTTTGCGAAGCCGTCATGCTAGCTAAGGAGGAGGCGGGACGCGTGAGGCAGCGAAGCGCTGCCTCCTCGCAACCCAGCCATCGCGAAGGACACACCGGGCGTCGGGGATCGCGGGAAGATCTCCGGCCACCGTAAGCGCGGGCCTGCGGACGGCGAGCATAGGTGGCTCCCCGTCCGACCAGAAACAGACCCGAGCGTACGGCGCGTCGCGTTCCGTGCGCGCCTCAAAGAGCCATCAGCCCTCCCGCCTCACCCAGGCGGGAGCAGTCATTCGATGATTTTCCCCCCTTAAAAAAAAAAAAAAAAAAAAAAGCCCCCATTGTGTCCGCGCTGTGGCAATAGACTTATCCCCTTTATGTCGGATTTATAAAATAAACTGTTAAAATGTGGGTGTTCCACTTTATTTGCGCAACTTTGCGTACCTTTCTGGCATTAACTCGTCGAGTACCGGTTTTGTAGACACAATTATAGAACAATAGGTTGCGGTCACCGGTGACCGCTTGGTGTTTGACAGTTTAAAGAACATGATACTAATAAACATTATAGCTTATATTTAATAAGAATTCCCTTAACCTATAACTCTAAGATTTATTAAACTACCTACATGATAAGTAAGTACTTGGGAAAGACGATCCCAATATTCAAGTTATTTCGCAAGAATACTCCTTAACGCCCACAGCCAACCACAGCTACTATAAAGATATTAATTCATAATACAGAATAAACTATTTAATCGAGTAATAACAAAGTTTAACTACCTCTTCACGAAAATTAAGCCAAGTATTAAATTCTCTTGCAGAAGATTCTTAGGCAAATATACCCAAGAATGTTGTTTCTACCTCCCCCATAATTTCTTATGCAGATTATTTTAGAGGACAAAAATCTTCGGTTATTCTTCGCTCTAGAGAATATTTTCTGAGAATGTTCGCAGCAAAATGTTCATGGTATAATTTTCTAACAATGCAGCGGTAAGGTAACAATGCAACGTTTCTGGAGAATTCATTGTTACCATGGACTAATAAACTAAAGGTAGTTATAGACTAAGAAGTCTATAACAATTGTTAGCTGTTAATAGTTTATGCTCGTAAAATAGTCTATACTTGTAGATGTTTTTATATCTAAAAATACTAGGTACATACCACTTTTATCATTGATACTTTGCCAACAATATTAAGATCAGTGCGGTTTACTTATACTTTCGGAAACCAAATAAGTGCAGACGAAAATAAGATAACCTCGGATTTGTGAGATTAAGTATATACCTATATACATACTATAAGTATTCATATCTATATGAATCTATATGGAATTCCCAAAATTCTAAATCTATTCAAGCACAGATATCTACTATATCTGATAAGTAAGACAGTAGACTGAGTAGATGTACCTAAATATCGATGACGAATATAGTTCCTATTTCATAATAATATTAAGTGTATGAATATGATGCGCAAAAATACCGACTTGAATTATTGTCCACAAGTGCATTGCCGATAGCAAATTTTTGATCCATTTCTTTTTGCCGTTAGAAATAGACCTATAGCAACGTATTTATAGTCCAATTTCTATTCTATTCAGGTACCCACTATAATAATTACGCTAAAGGATAAAGTCAAACTGTTACCTAAACCGCACTGTTCAAAATATTCAAAGTTATTTTCAATGATCTTTAGAAAATGAAGTCCTTAGTTCAAACCACGAACTTGGGTAAACCGTTATACAAACCACTACAAACTATAGGTACCTATATAAGTTCATTCATATCTTTTTATCAGGAGGGTACATAGAGGTAGAAACTTCCTGCTCATATTATTTTAAGAAAAAAGAAATAAGCTGATTCACGCTGGTAAAACTCTGGTACTTAATTACTGAAGCCTTAGTACGAGTTTGATTTTGCTTTAAACGAGACCGCGTTAGGCACTCTGATTGGCCGGCTCCAATGAACCAACCAATAAGAGCACCAAACGCGGTCTCGTTTCGATTACTATTAACATAAAATATACTTGTACTTACTTAGCCCTTAGTAGTATGAATTAGATAATTTAATTTTTTCGGGTTTAAAATTCTGCATAGAGTCTTAAATTGGGTAGTTTCCAGGGATCAAAATTAAAAATCTAATTAGTCCGTCAGTTAGATAATGAAAAAATATTAGACACGTATTTTTTTATTTTCTCGTATTAAGTTGCAATATTTAGATGAAATGGCGATAACTTTAGGAATGGGAGGTTATTAAGTCATAACGTGCTACAAAATGTGGCACACTGTGACGTGACGATTTGACAAGAAAAAATACGTGTCTAAAGTTTTAAATTAATGTACCCGACGAACATTAAAAAAAAAAAAAAAAAAAAAAAAAAATTCGGGTAGTCACCAAGTTAACACTAAAATTGTAAAGCTCTGAGTTATAAATTGCTAAAATATAATTATAATTACATTATTATTAGTTTAATGCCTTAAATGAAATAGTAATCAGTGCTACCTGCCTGTCCAGTGTTTTCAACCAGCTACAAAACATTATAAGCACTTTACACTGAAAACTTGCACAACTGGTAATATCATGGAGGACGTCCCACGCTTAGTGTCTGAGATGACCAGCATGTTCAAGCAGCGCATGGCCGACTTTGAGCAAGAGCAGAGGGTTAGCGCAGGAGCAGCAACAGATGCCACACCAGTACTAACAGCGGAGTACATAGCATTTCGAAGCTTCATTATGCAGTTTCTCTGTGTTCTCCAGCAGCAAGTGGGCTTTCTGGTGCAGAGCATGGACAATATGCAGATGCACAGCCGGCGTAAGATACTTCTTCTTCACGGTGTATCGGAGTCAGAAGCTAAGGAAGAGGACACTACCCAATTGGTCGTAAAAGTTGTCAAGGACCGCCTCAATCTTGATATAAAGCCATCTGATATCAAGCGGTGCCACCGGATGGGACGGACTACCCAAAAGGCTCGACCCATTCTGCTTAAGCTGCATAACCTGGCTCTCCGTGACAACATCTGGCGAGGAAAAACCAAGTGCAAGGGCTCGGGTGTCACGATCTCCGAGTTTTTGACTAAATCCCGACACGGTATCTTCATGGCGGCACGAGAGAGGTTCGGGGTCAATCAGTGTTGGACGAGGGAGGGCATTATCTTTGTCCTGGACTCGAAAGGCGCTCGACATCGGGTTACAACCAGAGACGATCTCGACAGTATCGATTTAAAACAGCCTGGGCAGGATGTGGCCCAGCCTGTCATTGCGGCTGCCGGGAAGGTGGTTATGTCCAGGGCAAGGCGTGCAGCAACCCGAAAATAAGTATTATAAATTTTTCAATTCTATTTTCTTGTCTTTCTGTAGGTAGTCTGGGTAAATCGGGTATTTTAGTTTTAGATTGTTGCACTTGTAATATTGTAGTATGTATCACCTTCATTTTAATTTTATTATTTTTCTTACATTCACATTTACATTGAAAAGGTAGTAGTATTTTATTTTATTTGTTTACAATTATTTATGTTCATTTCATTCGTAACTCATATCATTGTCTTTAATGTCACCTGTCACTGTCATGCTTAACTGTCACTTAAAACGTTTCGTTTTACGAACTGCATGCGTGTTTTAAATTCAAATTCGTTTATTTTTCATTTATTAGCGTATTATATTTCTCACCTCATTTTATTATTTAGTTCGATTGCCCGGACCTACTATTACTGTTTTTACTATTTTTGTGTTGCTATCTTTATTTGTTATTTTTTATTTATTTTTTTGCTAGCCTGTGTTGTCGTTAATGGGTGATTTCTTGTTTTGTTGTTTTTAAAATTCTTACAGGCTAACTGGCAGGTGGATATAGGTAGTGCAGATTTTGAACACCAACCTCATACATAACGCATAGTATTATATTATAGGTATATTTTTGTTGTTATTTATTAGTTTATTAATATTACATATTATTACATTTTATATACATTATTAGGTACATATTACACACTCATGTTACATACTAGTACTAACAATGAATCTGATGCGTATTTATCATTTACTTCAGACGACGAAAGCTTTTGTAGTTTACCGTCATTAAATGAGACACTCGTCTCGGTATTTTCTGATGCATCGCAGAACTTCAATGTGGTTCACATTAACGCTCAGAGTATTCCGGCTCATTACACTGATATGCTGGCGTTTTTCGATTGTAAGTACATTCACGCCATTCTGGTGTCCGAGTCGTGGTTGAAACCTTGTCTCCCTTCTTCCTCCTACTCTCTTCCGGGATTTAACTTGATAAGGAATGACCGTGCGATTGGGGGTGGGGGCGGTGTGGCCATATATCTCCGTAAGAATATTTCGTTTACTATCTTGAATATGTCCACACAGCCTCCTCCCCAGAATGCTGGTGAACACCTCTTTTTGGAGGTTGAGTTACACCGCACTAAAATTCTTCTTGGCGTGTATTATTGTCCATCTCTACGTATTAACTTCTTCTCCTCTTTTGAACAGCTCCTAGAAATATTTGTACCCTCATATGATCACTGTATTATAATGGGGGATTTCAATACATGTCTGTTAAAAAACGACACTCGTTCCACTTCTTTTTCCCGGTTAATCAAGTCTACCAATCTTTCTATCCTTGACCTCAATGCTACTCACCATTTCCCTAATTCAGTTCCTTCGCTGCTTGATTTGATCTTAGTTTCTTCCCCGAACAACGTCGCCAAACATGGCCAGTGTCCGGCTGACGCCTTCTCTTACCACGACCTTATCTATGCATCCTTCAAAATTCGCCCACCCAAGCATAAGTCGAGAACTCTCTATCTTCGCAATTTTGAGGGCATGAATGTTGAGCGTCTACGGGAGGATGCTGCTGACATCGACTGGAAACCTCTGGCTGAGGCGGCATCGGTTGACGAACAAGTTGAATTCCTGACTGCCTCTGTTATTAAACTATATGACAAACACGCTCCTGTCAAAGCCGTCAGGGTTAAGCATCTCCCAGCACCTTGGTTAACTGATGAAATAAAGAAACTGATTGCTAAAAAAGCTGCTGCAAAATTTAAATTTAAGATCCAGCCGAGTGTCGGCAACAGGGAAAAATACATTAGGATTAGAAATCAGTGCAGCAAGGTGTGCAGGAATGCTAAACGCCAACACATCCATAGATCAGTTCAAGATAGTGATCCGGCTAAAGTGTGGAAGTTCCTCAAATCACTAGGTATCGGAAAACCTACTCAAGACCCTATACCTAAAGATCTAGATCTTAATTCTCTTAACTCTCAATTCTCCTCCTCGGTCGCTTTAGATATGGCCGCCAAAACTTCCACTTTAAACTTTCTTTCGTTACTTCCGCTACCTGATTTTCCTCCGTTCGTCTTCAGTCAATTTACTGCATGTGAGGTTAGGAGGAGCATTCTGTCGACGACATCGAATGCCGTTGGTGGTGACTGTGTAAGCCGCAAAATGATAATTCCTATCCTAGATCAAATTACTCCTATCATCCTTTTTGTCCTAAATTCCTCAGTCTCCAATAGAGCTTTCCCTCAGATTTGGAAGGAAGCTCACGTAATTCCTCTTCCCAAGAAAACAAATCCTGCTTCTTTTTACGATTATCGACCTATATCCATTCTTCCTTTCCTGTCCAAGATCCTAGAAAAACTTATCCATCATCAACTTAGTTCTTTCCTTACCAAGCACAATTTCCTCAGTCCCTACCAATCTGGTTTTCGTCCGGGTCACAGCACTACCACGGCTCTCGTAAACATTACCGATGACATTAGGTCGAGTATGGAGATGGGGAAGTTGACGGTACTTGTCCTGCTCGATTTTAGTAACGCATTTAATACCGTTGACTTCGACATTTTGCTCGCCGTACTCAGCTCTCTTAACGTATCCCCATCGGTAATTGACTGGTTTCGTAGCTACCTATTTGGTCGCCGGCAGCGTATTCATTGTGAGGATCGTTATTCTTCATGGTGTTGTACTGCTTCCGGTGTGCCGCAGGGTGGTGTTCTATCCCCTTTACTCTTTGCGCTATTTATCAACTCTATCGCTAATGAACTCTCTTCTTCCTTCCACCTTTATGCCGATGATCTACAGATCTACACAAATGCTTCACTGCATGAGTTACCTGATGCTATTGCGCTGATAAACCGTGATATGGCACGAATTGGTGACTGGAGCATGAAGTTCGGGCTGCATATTAATCCATCAAAAACACAAGTGATGGTTGTCGGCAGCTCAAGGACTGTCTCTAAAATAGACTGGTCTACTCTTCCCCAAGTATGTCTACTTAACACAAAGATTCCTTTTTCCTGTGAAGTCAAGAACTTGGGGATTTACATTGATAGTACTCTGTCCTGGTCTAAACAGGTGCAGGAGGTCAGCCGTAGGGTTTTTGCCTCGGCGGGCGCCCTGAGGCGTCTACGGAATTTCTTACCCACTACTACTAAAATTGCATTAGCACAATCCCTACTTCTACCAATTCTCGACTATGCTGATGCCAGCTATCTTGATCTCACCCAAGAACAATTAGACAAGCTTGAGCGACTTCAAAATCTTTCCATTAGGTTCATATTTGGATTGCGCAAGTATGACCACGTCTCTGAGTTCCGCAACAAGCTCAAATGGCTGCCTATTCGCCTTCGCCGGAATACTCATATTCTTTCACTTCTTTACAATATACTTTTTAATCCCACTACCCCTACTTATCTAAAAGAACGTTTTACGTACCTTGGCGATACACATTCGAAGTTTTTGAGATCATCGGAGAGTCTGAAATTGAGTATTTGTTTGCATTCCACTTCCTTTTTAGACAAATCCTTTACAGTGCAAGCAGCTCGGTTGTGGAATGCTTTACCGATTGCAGCGAGGCGAGCTCAATCCATATCGCAATTTAAAAAACTTGTTAAAGAGCATTTCCTCTCTTTATAATTTTATATCCTATCTTAATCACACACACACATACACACACATACACACACATGCACAAATACACACCATTATGTAATTTATGTATCATATTGTATATTGTATATTATTTTATTTTTATATTTATTTATTTATTTATTTATTTATTTTTTGAGTTGTAGTTGTATTTTTGTATTATATGTATAGTACTTTATAAAGTTATTAATTATTGTACACTTGACGACCCATATCAGACTCCTATTACTGCTCCATCCAAAGGTTGTCTGTAAGAAATCGCCTTGTGCGATAAGACCGCCCATTGTGCACTATTTTTGTTAATATTTATCCTATAATGTGATTGTGTGGTGTACAATAAAGCATATATTATTATTATTATTATTATTAAAATTTAGGAAACTATCCTATTATGCCCAAGGTTTGGTAATAAGACTCGCCCCTAAAAATAACACTCTCACTCATCAATTTAAAGTATAGTAGGTATTGCTTAGCATTTTAGGGATTGGTGTTATGATTTTATGTATAGATTATAACAGATGTGTGATGCGATGAAACATTACTACTTTGGGACAACCTTAATCTAGTTCTCAAATTTCTAGAATCTGAATAAATTATCTTGACTGTGACCCCTTATCGAATTTAGGATGGTAACGGTTTTCATTATCCTATGCGGATTTATATCGAATTCATGTGGAAACACGATACAATTTGATTGATTGATTTTACTTTAAATTTATATTCATTCTCTTTCATATCAGGGACTGTTTAAGGCATTTGCAAATTTAATTCATTACCGATTTATCTTTAATAGAATAAGAGCTCAACAAGCAGTTCGATCGCTTGATAAATAGTAAGCGATGACCGCTGCCGCCGCCACTAGTACCTGCTATTTGTAAATGCGTTACGTCTTTTTAAATATAGTACCTACATGCTTTATTTAGGATTTCAACTTCATTTACATCAATATAATAAGTTGCTAGCTTCAACATATACCCCTATCGATTTCAATGAACCAATAAATCAATTCAGTCTCCCATGACCCCATTACAAGAAGGCTTTAACACATCCATCGACATCCTATACGTACCAATTTATTAAATTCGTAATACCGACAGTTACATTTATACTCCAATTCAAACGATTCAAGTAATGATAACGATCAAAGACACCCGAAACAAGAATGCTAATGACTTAAAAATCCCATTACATTGCTGTTTGACTAACAGATTGCTCAAAGATTACCAAGTTTTAGCGGATAATGTAAAGCAAATGTTAAAGAAACTAATCTAATCGGGCTAATAAGATCATAACCACAGTTATGCTGTAGTCACTAATTCGAGTGTTTGCATCGAGTATTAACTTTATCAAATGATACTAATAGAACTGCAAGGTCAAATGGAAATGTTTGGTCGTTTCCAGAATAATAAAGAAGATGTAATGCAAAATACCTATGTCAATAATACGATTAGTAAGTCAGACGTTGCCCTTTCGGAAAAGGTGGAATAAAAATTGGAGATATTACACTAGCTCTCATGGTTGTTTGTGGTAAGTACAATGGTGATCATGACTATGAGCCCCTAGCATGGTTTGAAACCAATCGGGGTACCCCGTCAAACAGTTACACGAGTAAGCCGTACGTAAAACATAATTAATTTATTGTACTTCCTTTTTCGGACACAAAACAATACAATATGTAAATACTATCTATAAAATGACTATCTTCTGCAAGCGGCATCGCCCACGTTCCCGTAAGATAAAAAGTGGCCTGTTTGTTATTCCAGCCCATAATCTACCCCTGTTCCAAATTTTATCTCAATCTCTTTAGGCGTTTTGACACGAAAGAATTACAAACGCACACACATGCATCCTCACTAACTTTCGCATTTATATTATTAGCAGGATTATTTATCGAAAAATAAAATAAATAATAACAGTTGGTCATAGAACGAAAACTAAAGTCTATAGAAGTGTTTCGCCTCATGAAACAATAATTCGACGTCACGTCTCTAGGTCAAAAGTTCGGCCATTGTTCTTCACAGACTATAAATAATTGTATTAATCACTACCTTTTTATCCTACAAATCCTAAACTTTTAATGAAGGGATAACATTTTCAATATCGTTAAAAAATCGGTCCCCATTTTTTACGTAAAAACTTTTGATGATGACGCCAATATTTTGTTACATAATAATAACTCCCACCTATAAAACAATGAGAACAATAAAAAACTGAATAAATCCGAATCGTATTTTATTAAGCTTTATTTCATTTTTGCAAATGATCTAATATAATTTTAATACGCCCACGTGTATGATTTAACTAATTGTTGTATTCATTACAATTCATTATTAGGTGGGATTTTACGGTTTTACAAAGATCTCTGTAATAGCACGGTTTTTGGAATTGTGCCCGAGTTATGCCAAAAGCTACTAACCATATTCATGGTATTTATGTCACCATTGGTGAAAGGTGGCTTTATAATTTCGATTGAGCCACTTAAGGCGTTTGCATGTACCACTATCACGAAAATAAGGATAAATTCTCACCCGTATAATATCCATGACTTTGTTCAATGGCTTCCCTCTGTAAAGCTGTTGATGACACACAAGTTCATCATAATCTTTTATTTTCCTCCGGATCGTCCCGTTTTCTGCTTCCATCGCCAGCCAGTCGAGACCACCATCACTGCAGTCCCAACTATTACCTGCACAAGAAAAGGAACTTAAATTAAAACCTGCTTTTATGTCAACTCTTAATTGAGTGCCGTGTCGTTCGTCGCACAATGCTGCCCATGATTATAAGCCCCCAGTGTAGCTCGAAACTGGTCGAGTTAACACGTCAAACAGTTACATGAGCAAGCGCATGCCATTGTACTTACAATGTAACAACCACTTTTCACTACTTATGTTATGAGTTCCATGTAATAGGGGGAGAGCCTTTGCCATATACCGGGCACAATTCCAGACTCCGTCCTACTACTGAGAATTTTTTAAAACGTAATAATACTTTGCCCGACGCGGGAATCGAACCCGAGCCCCCTTGCCCGGCAGTCGCACTTGCGACCACTCGGCCAACGAGGCAGTCGTTGGAACATAAAAAAACACTACAAGTGTTTCAAGTGTTACATAAATGTGAGACTATACTTTTTTAGAAAATATCATAGTTCAACGTTAAAGTGCGATATTTCAAGTATTTATTTATAGCGGATGACAAACTTATCTTAAAAACTTCAAGAGGTTTCGTCTCGAGAACCGAACTGCAAGTTTACATAAATAAAGGGATCCATTGTTCTACGATTTTTTTTAAGGAAGTTAATATTTGACGTTAACATCTGTGATTGACGAAGATTTTGGTGTTAACGGGGACTGTTTTATGGAAGATCCAGACTCCAAGAGAAATGCGATAGATAATTTTATCAAAAAATTGATTTTTTCTAAAAATCGACGCTCTAAAATGATTTTGATAATTTATATGAATTTTACAAAAACTTAACACTTTAGTCCCTGATAGTTAATTAAACGTAGGTAATGAATTAAAGGTATTTCGTATTTCGTGATGCCTCGGTGGTTTAAGAAGCCCGCTTCTCATGCATGAGGGCGTGGGTTCGAAACCTACCAACGAAAGTACCAATGTGAGTTTTTCCGAGTATATGTCTTGTACATTCTAAGATTATTATCTAGACACCATTGACAAACAGTGAAGGAAAACATCGTGAGGAAACCTTTTTTTTTTTTTGAGGGGGGAAAATCATCCAATGACTTCTCCCGCCCGGGTGAGGCGAGAGGGAGTGTCAGACTCTTACTGACTAAAAACCACCCCGTTCCTACTCCTGCACTTCGAGCCGGAGCCCCGGCAACCCGTTAAGTCTTCCGCGGCTCATCGTGAGGAAACCTGGGCTTATAATTTCTAATTGTAAGTTTGTAATCGCTAACCCGCATTGAGCAAGCGTGGTGATTTTTGCTCAAACCTACTTCGTGTGAGAAGAGGCTTTACTCAGCAGCATTTATAGGATGTTGATTATGATGATGAGTTAATTAAACTATTGAATAAAAATGTTGCTTTATTTCGTGTGATAAGGAAATGTTATTAAGTGTTAAGCAGCCACCAAATTAGAATACAATTTCATTTAAATTTTCTAGGTATACCGAACAGTGTATATTTTAGCTTACGTTATGTTTGAGCCGACTAGACGGCGCAGCGCCCTAGCGTACTTTCGCACGACATTGAATCATGGTCCCATAGTGCTAAGGACACAGTATTCATCTGCAATCCATACTATTCGGAGCCTTAGTTAAGTGAAACGTCACATATTATACTGTAACAGTGTCTATAGTGTGCTTTAACTATTTGTATTTGAAGTGTCAAAAAAACAAAATGAATAAATTATGTGATTCACATCGATATACGAGTAAAAGTTAAGTACAAAAGGTCAAGTGGTTGTTTCACAAATTATTGTTCCAGATCTAAGACCTATGTTTGTGTTATGTGTGTGTGAAGTTATATATATAGGTTAGTAAACGCATCTACGACTGCGGAGAAAGTTCTAGTGTGGGACAATGTTAACAAACAAGTCTCGAGGTGTAAAGTAAGACTATGTTCCTTATCTATGTACAATTCCATCTTCTCTCCCAACCTTTATAAAATTATCTAGCTTTTTTATACTTAACACAGTAAACGCCATGGCGGTCACCGGTAAATGACATTCGCGGAGAATTTGCCTTAAACAGTTTTCTATTGGCAGTCCTTTCCTTCTTAATTTCTATTAAAGCCGCCGTAAGTTTTGTTAGGCCTTCATCTATTCTCAAATGCTTGGAAAATTGAACTAAGCCACACATTTTCAACTGTTCTGTGTTCTACGTATATTACAAAACTTGGTAAGCGCAATTTCAATCTTATAACTGAAGGGCGGTTTCGTAAAAAAAAGCAAATACGCGATGATATTAATTTGTTTTTAGTATGGACTGTCTAACCTAATTTCCTTTCTTCTAATTTTGAAAAGGTAAATACCTACCTACAGCTTGGCAAAATAGAGTTTGACGCGGTGACAGCTAATTCGGACTGAATCACCTACTTCAGGCCATATCCCATTAATAAACAATCAACCGAGCATAGTATCTCCTCTTTTTAAACTCGATGAAAATAAGAAATATCATTACCAATTGAGTCGTAGCATACTAGGTCGCTACAGATGCGATAATGACCTAAATCACTTCAAACCCTTTTTTGTCAAGTTGTCGATCCCATAATTATTTCTATTATTAATTGACACTAGGAAGACGGGTCCCCTGGTCTGTCGCTCCGCCTTTTGGCCCAATTTAAAATTTGTTCCCGTCTTTCTAATGTTAATCGAGTCTTCCAGACTCTAGAGTGTTCATTACAAAATGACAATTTCTTTCTATCACCATTGCTTGCAACCGGCTGCCGTGCAACGTGTCGCGGGTTCGATTCCCGCACGGAACAACACTTTGTGCGATCCATAAATTGTTGTTTCGGGTCTGGGTGTCATGTGTATGTGAACTTGTATGTTTGTAAACCCACCCACGACACAGGAGATAATCCTAGTGTGGGGCAACGTTTTTTTAAAAAAAAAAATCATGTAGGTAAGAATGTAATACCTAACAATATTTATTTTTAGATATCAATAACTACGTATCCCAAATAGTACTTACACACAAACTAAGTTGAAGGTTACTTTTCTAAAATAGTGATTAACAAATCATTATTTCAAACAAACTTCTGTGAACGTTATTATTTATAGAAGTAAATAATATCTACCTACCATTGTGATCACGTAATCACGCGTGAATGTTCCAAAATGAATATCTTTATTGAAACGTATATAAACAAACACACAGGCCCCTTGTTTTATATATTTTGTAGGTATGTAAATAGTTCGTCACAATTTGTACAAAATAGTTTGATATAGATACATATTTTTTTTATAAGATTTGAGCATAAGACACTTATCATAAATACAAAGTCCAGTGCCGCTGCGTTTTGATTAAATTCTTTAAATGGGATGATAATGCCTAAAATTAAACAAAATTAATTACTTCAATCTTGGATAAAGGCTGGGTACTTGCCAACTAATCAAACTCAATTTCAAATTTTCAATCAATCATTTTCAATCAAACAAATTTTATGAACTGTCCAAAACGACAGTTTTCTATTAATTTTGTACGAGGTTGTGCACAGAACATATAAATTATCTTTATATAATAACCAACCAATCAGAGCGCCAAACCCGTATTCATTACGATTAGGTACTTTAAACGTTGAAAAAAAGGACATAATGTCACAGATATGATTGAAGCACCAAAACGTCAGTAGGTTATTTATGTGTGCGTGTGTAATGAGTTACAACGTTACCAGACTTAAAAAATGACAGATGTCCTTCTTGTCAATGTGTGTATGTTCCGCGTGTAAGTCTATAGTACACCAGGTGCCACAGTCGTTGTTGTAGGAGACTGCGTCTGCCTTTTTTTTTCAATGACCTTGGTGAAACTAATTAAAAGCTAATAGTAATAAAAATGTATAATGATAATAACTATCGTGAGACTGACTGATGATAATAACTATATTAAGTAAAATCGCGGGTTACTCACGTGAATAAACTGAGAAAAGCTTTACTACTTTCGAACCACAGAGGGGTTCTTCCTCATGAGCAGCGTGCGCAGTCGCGGCGATATCGCGCAGTCTACTAGCTGCTTTTCTCAGTATATTCACGCGAGTAACCCGCGATTTTTAGTTAATGTATAATGATACTAAAACACAACGAATAAACAATGTAGTATAAATATTCACCTACAATACATTTATACATACATAGTTTAGTAGCTATCATTACTTTATTTGTATTAGTACAGCAAATAAATAAATAGCTATAAATATACCTGTCGAATCAAATACATAATGTTTCGCTACGAACATTAGACCAATATTCCCATGAAATTTTCTTATTTGGTTCAGTAATAGAGTAACGTGTATAATATTTTCTCATCCGTAAATAACATGAAATGATCCCACAGGGAAATAGTGCCTTCTGAATAATCTGTGTTACGATAAATTAATTATCTGTCGGTCACGTGCAGGTTGCCAATTTAAAAAAAATCGTTATTCCACTGTATGATTTTCGTGTGTCGTGGGTGCTTTTACACACATTCAATTTAAATACACATGACACCCAGACCCAAAATAACAATTTGTGAATCACACAAAGAGTTGCTCCGTGCAGGAATTTTAATTGCTACTTTCATGTTTAGGTCGTAAATGAGTTCGATTTGCTGCTGCTTCTATGGCGGAGTAGAGTTAGGAGTTTCATGATCAACTCTTATCGTCTACAGCCTATGTCTACACTTTCTATTTAGGAAAACCTTCCTAGTTACTTGTTAGCCATGATCTCCACGCTTGCCAGGCGTGTCGGCGATCTAATTTAAAGGGTTAAACTTCCATCAGATTTTTGCATCAGTTGATAGAAGCTGCCCTTGTAAGAGAGTAGGAGTTGTCTTGTATCAGTAAAAGTCTGACACGCCCTCAAGAGTCATGTGATGATTTTCAGGCCAAGGTCAGGCAAGTGGTTCAATGCACCTAGAACTAGACTTCTAAATATACAAATACACATATCACCTATTTCATACCTACGATGACTAAAGCACTGTAGAATCAAGAAGGGCAGACAAGGTTAATTCTGGTATACTCGTAAAAATAAACACAAAAACGTGATGTCCGCACACATACGAATGGAGAGAGGCAAATTAACATTCCCCAGTTCGGCAAAATAAAATTCGGCTTCGGCTCAATCTTAGCCGAAGATGAATTTTGCGTGTTTGTTAGTCATCACAAACTGTTAGGCGTAAGGTGTCACAGGTTGGACTCAAGCACGGAAAAACTCTTAATGTGATATATACGTCCGTTAACCGACTTAAAAAAAGAAGGTGGTACTCAGTTTGATTAGTATGTATGTTTGTGCGCGATTATCTCGCGATTAGGTGAATCAATTTTTATGCGGTTTTCACTTAGGAGGTTTTAGATATTAATAAAGCGACTTCAAGAAAAGGGGATCATCAATCGTTTTTTTAAACGTATTTCATAAAATAATTAATATTTAAATAAAAAAACTAATTTAAAAATTGTAGGTCCTTCATCACTCACAGAGAAACCATGGACACAACTAGTATTATTGTATTTTTGACAAAGGCAAAACAATATCAAAACAAACTCTTGAAAGTAAAGGAATATTCGGTGTAAACTTCTTGTTTCGACCGTAGCTCGGCCTTATGTAAATGCGATTCAATTTGGCCGAAATTCGCCAAAACATTCGGTTCATCTCTAATGTAACACAATAAAATAAAGAAGTAATCTATAGTTTTTTGTCGAGGGCATTGATCTCGTGGGGAATTCATTCTATCGGTTGTTTTTATCGTTTTATACCTACGAAAATGGAACAAGATTTTGTGTAAATGCGTCTCAACTGATGCAGTTCGTAGTTGCAGTTATACCTATAGGTAACTTATGTTTTTATTCTGGTTTCTAGAATGTTATGAACATACTATGGCATTTTGACTCTAGCAAACACACAGATTGTTCCCTTAGAACTATAAGATTCTCACTAACAAATTTAATGCCCGAAAGACATCATAAAAATTACCAAATAGCTGTAAAAAGAGTAACTTGGCTCACCTGCTAAATAAACGTATTCCAAACTCCTTGGTCCCGTCAACAGCGATGACTTGATATGTCTCAACATGTTCCCTCGAAGGTCCAACTCTCTTAGAACTGGCATGTCCATCACTATCTCCGGAGGCAGCTCCCATAGTGACATCAATCCGTGGATGATCAGTTTCTGTTGTTAAAAATATACACTGGTCAGTACAGACATATGAAGCCATATTATACATATTAGGTATAATGTCCTTGAATTCAGTAGGTACCTAATTCGGACGAACAATTTTTCTGCTTTACTCTGTGTCTGTTTCGGTACCGGATTTTCTACGTTTTTTTTTATGGCATAAGCCGGTAAACGAACAGACGGATCACCTGATGGTAAGCAATCGGCGTCGCCCATGGACACCTGGAACACCAGAGGCGTTACAAGTGCGTAACCGGCATTTTGGGGATTAGGAGTTTGAGGATCGTTGGGGATTCAGGAATTGGGGAGATTGGGGAAAGGGAGGGTAATTGGGCCTCCGGTAACCTCACTCACACGACGAAACACAACGCAAGCGTTGCTTCACGTCGGTTTTCTGTGAGGCCGTGGTATCACTCCGGTCGAGCCGGCCCATTCGTGCCGAAGCATGGCTCTCCCACACTTAACTCGTCGAGTACCGTCTACA